TTAACGGAAGCGGAAACATGAATAAATAATTATTTTGTACCGAGTATAATGGGAATTTCGGATTGAATGTGGCCGCCGGAGAAGGGGTAAGGCTGCCGGGGATAGATGATGAAGGTGCCGTAGACGGAGGCTCGTTGCCATGAGTGATGAGCATGCCAAAGGAGTGTGCCTCTTTGGTCTTCCACTTTGAACCGATATGTGTATGATTGTTTCGATCTTATTGGACACTGCGTTATGTAAGCCGGTCCATCGGCCCAACCGGTACGGTATTGCCTTAACCCATGCCTACTCACAAACCCCAAAAATAAAACCGATAAATAAAAGCATAAAAAGCTAGACAAAATGTTAACAGTGGTTACAGTACTATGCATGCATGAGAATATGAAATTTGTTAATTACCAGTGGATTGTTGTATTTTGAGCAATCCGGTTAGTCACTTTGATCTCTACGGTGTCACCTTCGTGAACCACCACCGCTGGCCCCGGATATTGTCCGTTCACCGTTAAAAGTTGTTTCGTGTGGCACAATCGAGTTACCTTCTTCCATTCGACCTGAATAACATATATCATATTGAAAACGTTGCTGTTACATTTGCGTAATACACTAGCTAGGAAACGATTGATAAATATGTAAAAGTAATAAATCTTGTGTATGTACACGTGGATGAATTTCTTCCTTTTTTATGATCAGATCATAAAAATAAAGCTGTAAGAGTGAGTAAAATGAAACTGAGTCTTCGTTGAAATCTGCTTACATTAAAATGAAATCGACGAGTGGTGGAAGCCGAAGAATAAGGGAGGAGAGTTGCAATCAGAACCAAAAAAGTCGAAATCATTAGAAATCCGAAATTCCCCATTTTCTTTATATAGAAAGTTGTTCTTTTCTTTTTGGTCTTAGCTTACACTTAGCTATGATTCTTGATTATGTTTGCTAATGAGAAGGTTCCTTTATATAGAAACACAAAATGGGTTTCCTTTCTCGTTTAAATATTATTTTATACAAAATTTTGATAAAGTACCTATATTTTCAAAAGTTTTCAGAAAACCCCCCAAAGATGATTCTTTGTCCTAAAAAAGTGTCCTGCATGAAAAAGAAAATGAGCTAAATAATTACCGGTAAGTTTTAAAGAAATTATATAATCATTGGTAAATTTGAATTTGAAACTATAATTATATTGATTTGTAACTAGTGCATAATCATTTCATCTCGTGCATAGAATTATTCTACTCGTACACTATTGAATCGGTAGGTGAGAGTACCATGTACGAAAAACTGAAAAAGTTACCCTGCATGTTATGTATAATTTGAAGCTTCCAAACTCTCATCATACATATATATATCTGACTCATCTCAACCTTATTTAATCATAATGCGATGCAAAATCAACTAGCCGTTTCTAAAGAATTCAGTATCACTAAAAGTATATAAGCTATAACTAACTACAATAACTTTTTAGATTCGAAAATCTTTGATTTTATAATGATCTATCTACTACCTGCGATTTAATTATTTTCTCCATCATACCTAAACCCACGTGACCTCCTTAAACCTCACCAGTTAACCACACTCATATTACAAAGCTAACTCCCTCTTGATTTTAAATAATTTTCTTACTTATACAACGAATTCTTTCTCTTCTCGGCCGATCTCATCATATCTCAGCTACCTTGGTTTTTCTAAAAGTACCTAATCATTCTTTTGTTCACCAAACTTCCCTCAATGTAAATGTCTCTCTCTCGTATCAACAACTTGCTCGTTCTTGTATTTGTCCTTTAACAAAAAAACAACTTGCTTGTATTTGTCCGATCTCCCCCTTCCTTCCTCCTAGCATTTGTCAAATTTTGGGTCTCTATAATTCTATTTGACAATTGATTAAGATGACTAGGATTTATAAATCTTACTCAGTGTCTTCTATCATAATGTCTATATCACTTACAAGTTGATCTAACAAAAATGTATAGCAATAACAAATCTATTTCAAAAGTGACTAGACAATAAAACCAACTAAACTTCGATACCTTTCGGTTAAGTTTGACTTCTAGAACTCAAGATAATTTAGTTCGTGTTCCAATATTGTATTTTCAAGAATTAGTTCTTGAACGATAAAAATTAATCTCATAGAAATAATTCAAAGGACTTTTGTGATTTACCCATAATATCATCTGCCACTTCATGACTGGAACATATTGTGTCTTAGCCCTTTTCTGGAAAAGAAGCACATGTATAATTTGGGTTACGTAAAAAGTTATGTCTCCTTTAGCGGGCATCAATTCAGGTTTTGCTTTGCCAAAAAAAATAAAGTTAAAAAAATACATGATTTGTGGGGTAAAACTAAACTCACACATGTAAAATGTGTGTGTATATATCTAGATTTAGGGCTTGATTGGTTGTAGCTGTAGCTTTATTTTTTTTGCTGTAGAATTAATGCTGTAGAAATTTTGAATGTGATTCTAGATTTTAGTGCTATAAGATTTTTTATTATAGATTATGTCATTAAATATAACATTAAAACAAAAAAGTTAAGATATAGAAATAATAGATTAAAAAATAAATGTTGAAAGATTAATAAGGAAAGAGAAGAGAGATAATTCTAAGAGCACTTAATTTGGTGCTCTAGAAAAATTGCTTTCCAAAACCACGGAACTTCCATAAATAAAAAAAATTGTTCTGTGTTTCAAAAATGGAATGAGATGGAATGAGAGTTTGATTGGTAATTTTGTATTGCTGTAGAGAGATTTAGGGCTGTGCAGAGCAACCACAGCCCCTACCAATCATCCTCTTATGTAAACGCTACCAAATTCTTTGGTCGTCTGTTGTATGTTTGCTTTCAAGCTTCATCAGAAAACCAATTTGTTCTTCCAATTTTTTGTTTTTATGAGAGTTGTCATTTGGTGCAATATCGGATTACTATAAATTCTTTCTATTTTGTTTTATGTATTTTCATATGCACGATACTAAAATATGTAAAAGAAATTGTCGAAGTTTTGTAAGAAACGGTATGGAAATTTAAGTCCGCATACGTATAATGGGAAGTACGATGGACTACTTTGTGAAGTCTATTCCAAAGAAAATCATTGAAGCTTTATGGTCGATAAAGTGATAGATCAATGGGTTGTTGCGAGCCATCTAATAGAACAAATAAGATAGGACCAAATAATTGCAAAGCGAAACGTATGAATACATTACAGATACTACAGTCTCTTTTCATTAAATTACACAAGAAAAATCTTATAAAATTCGAAACAGATGATTCTTTGCAACCATATCACACGAATGTATATTATTAATCAATGATCCTTGTGAACACAAAATGTTTTGAACTCCAAAGTTGTGAGGAGTAATAAATAAATCTTCAAATCGAGCTGCGGTTGGTTTCTTAAGTAATACTAACTAGTAGAGGACCCGCGCAAACGCGCGGTGTGATGTTGCGGTTTTGTAAACAAAATATAAATTTAAAATCTGAGTCCGACTCAAAAACCTAATCAAAATTTTAAAAATCCAAACCTTTTTAATATGTCTAAACCCGAAAACCCTGAGCTGAATAAAAAAACTCCAAACTTTTCACCCGAAACCCGAACCCGACCTAAAAACCCGAATAAAAAATTTTAAAATATCTAAACTTTTTTAATATGTCTAAATCCAAAAACCCGAAATCCAAAAAATCTGGAAAACCCTGAACTGAACCCAAAAAAACTCAAACCCAAACCGAACATAAATTTTAAAAAAAAAAACCGAACAGAAATCCACAATTTGATTTAAATCATATGTATTTCTATTTCACTATTGGAAATTTTGCAAATATCATTCGAATTTGGTATTATCGATAGATTATGTTAATTTTTCTTTTTTGCCGATTTTTTAAGAGCTGAAAAACGGAAGTTTTCTAAACCATCGGTTTGTTTTAAGTTATTATTCTTGTATCCAAACAATTTTTTCCATTTATTCTTCTATCCAAATAGATTATTCTCTTATTCTTATATCCAAACAACTTTTTTTCCATTTATTCTTCTATCCAAATAGATGATTCTCTTATTCTTGTATCCAAACATTAGAATGTACTTCTCAATTAATAATATAAAGATGGTCGCTATTTCATTAGTATGCCATTTTCTTTTCTACTCTTTTTTTTGCCTAACTCTTCTACATATACCATCGTGTATCTTCTAGTTTAACCCAACCATTTCGAAACGAACTAATATAATCTTCTGGTGACGTTTTAACTTCTTAAGAAATTCTTTATAAAAAATTCTAACAAAAAAAAGACAAGAGTATTTGTGATAACTGATAAGTATTGTTTATGATTTTATCAAAAAAGATAAGTATTGTTTATGATATGAATCACATGAAACCCATTTTTCCTGGTAGTCAGAATTTGAAGTCAAATTCCAAAGTGTGGCGGCATATCTACCATATTCTAAAGCATAAAGTTAAATATTTCACTTTTGGAACATTTTCATATCTAATTAACTAGTGTTACTAATCTTAACCAATCTGGCGTCTATGGACTTTGGCCTGGAAAATTCCTTTCACCTTTGCAGTTTCTTATTGAGGATGTGGTTTGGGGTTGGTGTGTAAGCTCCTAAGAACTCACTTTACTCGACCATATATCACAGTGTCAGGCCAATGATTAATCAAATAGTTTACTTTTGTCGTTATGGGATTAGGCCAACAATAATATCGTTTCATATGGATGTCGTATTACACAAATAATTTAACAATAAAGTTTGGACTTTGGAAAAAGAAATCATCGACAAATAATAGATCTCTTTAGCTTAGTCTTCGTCATTACAAAGCCAACTAACACAGCATTATGTTATGTCTGCTTATTTCTTTTCAACCTATCTTTTATTTTAAAAAGTCAGAGTTCTCTTCCGGACAATATTATAAAAAGAATCCACTATCCCGGTTTGACTTGAACCGAATCATGTCACTGAGTACTGAAGAAAAGCGGTAAAAAGAAATGTAAAGGATAAGTTTATAAAAAAGGAGAGACCAAAAAAATTACATGGAGATCGATGTGTTTATTTGAGGTTTTCATTCTCATCCCCAAACTATTAAATACAACAAATCAAACCCAACCACAAAGATAGATGTGGAAGAAGGGAGAAGAATGGTAAAATGGAGAACCAATTTTTTCACCAGAAAACTTTCGCCAAAAGAAAAACTAAAACTCTTTTAATTAGGAAGAGAAGCAACTCTATCAGCAAGCTCTGCAACTGTCTCATCATCTTCTTCCTCAGCTATGGTGTCCTGCAAAACAGAGAGAGAGCAAAACAGAACAGTTAGCAATAATTCCATCTTCATGTTCCTTTCAAGATCCTCTGTTGCTTTTCATTCTTTCTTTACTAACAAACTAGCTAACCTCTTTATCAGTTTTTGATTGGACACCAATGCATTTAGAACCGCTGATGCTCGCGCTCTTCATGAGGTTACGAGCACTGTAACCTCCTCCATTGTCTGCTTCCTCAGATTCCAAGGTTGAAGCCACAGCAGCTGCTGCTCTTCTCTCAACATCACTGCTTTCTTCTGCAGCTTCACCATTCGGAGCAGGAACTCTCTCTCTGCAACACATAATCACAATGCTTTCAGAGAGGGATAAAAAGACAAAGAGAGAGACAGATAGAGAGATTTGTGAAAGACATTACCTTGGCAAGGAAGCATGATGTCTGTGAAGTGCAGTACTTCTTCCTCCTCCTGCTGCTGCTCCTGGTTTACCTTGACTCTCTTCAAGATGAGCAAATTGCCTCTTGAATCGATCAACCCCACTGCGTAAACAACAAAAGATTTATCGATTTCATAACTTTTTGTTTCGAGATTTATAGTTTCTGAACTGTTAATTAGCTAACCTAGGGTACATGAAGCTAAGCTGATCACCACCGCGAAGGTATTCCTCCAACATCTGAGGATGATATTCCAATATCTAAATTTTTTTCCACCAAAGATAAGAGATTATTAGAATCAATCAAGAACAGATCAACAAAACTAAAGCTTGTGTAAAAATTATTTTTGAGCTACCTCACGGTAAATTAATTCTCTGACATCATCTTTAGTTAACTTCTTTCTCTCAAAATCAAATTCAAGCTTTGAAATTGGCTGCGTTGATGGTTCACGCTCTGAATTTGACAAGCCACTGAAGTATGGATCAGCTAGTGCCTGTAATTAAGGAAATCAAAACAGTGAGTTCCAGTCTGTGCAAAGAAACGAAAAGTAAAGCAAAATTTACTTCTCTCGCTTACATCTTCAGCTGATGCACGATCTTTCGGATCAAAGGCAAGCAGGCGTTCAAGAAGGCGGAGAGCCAAAGGATCAGCTTTAGGGAACTTATGAGAGAAAGGGACTTGCTGTTTTTTCCTCATGCTGCTAAGATATCTCCTCGCCTTTTCATTTCTAATCTGTCAAATTTTCAAGATTGCCATAAACTCATTACAGGATATAACTCACTCTCAAATGATTTAACAGAACACATTACTGCTAAAGAAAATTCCAACAGATTTTTGAGTGACTAACCCTTGCTATCGACTCGGGAGGTGGAGTTCCAAGAAAATCAGTCATAAGATCCAACTGGTGCACCACGTTTTTCCCCGGAAACAAAGGCTTACCCAAAAGCATTTCCGCAAATATGCAGCCGACACTCCATATATCAATCGCAGGAGTATACTGGAATACGACAAACAAAAGTTAACTTAGCAGCTTATAAACACATAGAATCACACGATAATACTCTACAAAACCGAAAAAGAGAAGCCTTTTTCTTGTGATACAGAGTGGCAACAATGATAAGAGCTAGGTTCAGTGGAAAATAATCTTACTTTGGAGAAAAACGATCCACAGAGTTCAGGGGCACGATACCACCGAGTAGCTACATAATCCTACAAAATACATAAAAAGCATTGAAAGAGTTAGAGAAAATCTAATTAGCAGTCTTGTTGCTTGCAGATTCTTGGAATCAGATGACTCACAGTCCAAAATATAGCGGTTGGGGCGTCGTTGAAAGAAACACGAGCGAGCCCAAAATCACAGATCTTCAGTTTGCAATCAGCATTAGCTAGGATGTTCTTTGGCTTCAAATCCCGATGAAACACATTAGCTGAACAAACAAAACCCTAAAGCGTTTCAGTATATCTATAACGACCATTAGGATCGAAAGAGAACAGCAATAAACCATAAAATCAACCTGCATGAACATATTTCAGACCACGGAGAAGCTGGTACAAGAAAAACTGATAATGCTCAGGAGTTAGATCATCGTTGGCCTTGATCACTTGATGAAGATCAGACTCCATCAGCTCGAACACAACGTAAATATCTCTGAATTCTCTGCGGGAAGGAGGCAGCATGATGTGTTTAATCTCCACAACATCTGGATGTTTAAGCAGCCGAAGCAATTTGATCTCTCTGAGGATCCTAGTTGCATCGGAGACATGCTCAAACACGTCGTTAATCTTCTTGATCGCAACTTTTTCTCCAGTGTGTGAGTCTACAGCAGAAGCCACAACACCGTAGCTTCCTTTGCCAACGACCTCTTGAATCTGGTACCTGTTTGCTTCTCCATACTCCGTGAAGAATTCAGTATCCTGCACAACGAGATTGGCCTAATTGATGGATCTAAACAACATGATCAATCAAATGGATACATAAAACTCACAATGTATCCTTTAGTGGAGCAAATGGAAGAACAACAAAACAACAAGTTCTCTCAAATCTCTTAGACCATATTGCATAAAGTTTGATCAAATCAAGTAATCTCTACATTCCCAAATGTACAATCAATCATCACCAAAACAGGCCTAAATTAGAAAGAGGGATGAGAAGGAGAAGAAGAAGAAACGTACCTTCTTATGAGGATCCATAGATACGTGAATACGTTTTGGAATTGGAACTTTAATAAGCTTTAACCCAGAAAAATCGAGATCCTCAATAACAATAAGCTCATTCGAATCTCCGGCGTTACCGGATTGATCGGGGTTAGAGAAAGTAGAGGAATTTAGAATGGGTTGGGGACTATTGGAAGAAGAAGAAGAAGGAGAAGGATGTCGCTGAAAAAGCCATCGACGAACACCGTCGACGAGATTCCCACCACCACCCATCCACGACTACTAGATTAGAAAAAAAAGATTGGTAATTTACGAAACTGGGTATCCGAATTTCCTCTCAGCCAAACAATTCTCGTCAAATCACCATATTTCTCGCCGCGTCTCTCGATTTTGTCCTTAGGAGTTGGAGACCATGTTCTCCTCCTCTCTCCTGTTTTTCTTCATTTATTATTTACTTTTTTTAAATGCGTTTTCATGCTCAGATATTTTGTTTCCCTAATTGATTGATTAGAGAGAGAGAGGGAGAAGATGGAAATTTTAAAATGTCGACGACCCGGTTTGAATATATACCGGTAAATATTAACCGGATTCGGTTTATCATAATTTGTGATGTGCCTGTTTGGGTATGCATTTATTGCATATGGTCTTTGATCCATTTCACTACAAAGCCCATACAATTAAAGTGTTTTATCCTTTTTTTTTCATTTTTGTTTTCAAAAATAAAGATTTTTTTTTTTTTTAATGAAACTTCAAAAAATTATGAGTTTGCTTTTGTTATCCATCCAAAATAGTACCAAGGATCAAAATCACCTGGACAAGAAGGTTGAATGATGTTAAGATGCCAAGAATATTAACTCATTGGACAAGTTTAGTTTTAAATATTTTGTTTTTCAAGTCGTTTATCTTCTGTTAATGAAAATATAAATTTTATATATTTTTCACATCCCTTAGTTACACTATTAATTCATATGTTCATGTAAGCTCTAAAATAGTAAAATGATGGTCTTTGACTCTATGTAATGTAATTTTTATTATTTTCATTTTTCCATTTCTTAAAGACCAATCACGATGAGAAAAACTGTGGAGTGGAAAAACGCAATGATTTTCCACATTTTAATTTTAGTTTGCATGTAAAAACAGTAACCAAAAGCAAAACAAAATTCAAGTCTCCAGCTCAAAATCCACTCTCAAGTAGTATCTATCTACTCTTCCGTTTTACGTTAGTTTTTAGTTGATTTTTGTCGGACTTTAAGAGAGAGAAAGTTGAGCGTATTGTGGACTTTCTCAATAAGGAAGGAGAGAGAGAGAAAGAGAAAGAGAAGGAAGGGGCTTTGTTTACCTGCTACTAAAGCTCAAAAATTTCATCTCCTTCTGTTATTGGGTTTGCTCATCTTTGAAAAATCCGGAATAGAAAATCTAATCTTTCTGTTTTGGTTGATTCGGATTCCGATTACAGATTAGTTTCCTCAAAGAACCTCCTGCTGTAGCTATCAGGTGTTGACGAGCCGTTGATCTGGACGGAGTTCCGGATCTCCGGGTTCGTTTTTGTAAAAAGATACTAGGGTTTTAGCACAAAAGTTCTCGTTTTTTTTCTGGATTCAAGGTGATGGAGAAGTTTACTGGCCGATGCTCGCTGCTCTAACATTCATAGTATGAAGATGAACATGAAGAAATTTCTAAAAAAGCTGCGTATCGTGCCGAATCAACGAGAAGACGGCGAAGGGTCAGTCTCGAACAGGAGCAACAAGTCGTCGAGTGATGCAGAGCCATCTCCTTCAGATTCATCGAGGTCTCACGATAACCCTGAATTCAAACCCTTTTCGGGTTTATCGAATTGGTTAAGCTCTGTTGGTCAAAAGAAAAGCCCTGCTCCAGCGACTTCTTCCAATGCCGAGAACACAGGGGATGAAACTACCGTTGGATCAGAATCGGCGATGCAAGATTTGGGTTCAAGTAATTCAAAGGATCCAGAGGTTGAAGAAGAGTATCAGATACAGCTGGCTCTAGAGTTAAGTGCTAGGGAGGATCCTGAAGCTGCTCAGATTGAGGCTATTAAACAGTTCAGTTTAGGTTCTCGTCCTCTTGCTCCCGAGAATTCTCCAGCTGAACTTATGGCTTATAGATATTGGGTAAGGTTTTTGACTCGTTGCCAGATATAGAAACAATTCCAAAGTTTTCGCTTTCCGTTAGAAAGTGAGAGACTTTGTTAGAAACAAGAACTGTTAAGTTGATCATTTACATAATCTGGAATCTTGATGCTTTTTGCAGAATTATAACTGTCTTGGCTATGATGACAAGATCGTGGATGGTTTCTATGACTTGTGTGGAGTAATGAATGAAGCTTCTTTAGAAAAGTTACCTCCCTTAGTTGATCTTCAGGGGACACTTGTGTCAGATGGTTTAACTTGGGAAGCGGTTTTAGTGAACAGAAGCGAAGATCCTAATCTGCTGAGACTTGAACAGATGGCTCTTGATATTGTTGCTAAATCAAAATCGGCGTCTTCTTCCGGCTTCGTCAACAGTGAATTGGTGAGGAAACTTGCTGTTTTAGTTGGAGATTACATGGGTGGACCAGTTGTGGACCCAGATAGCACATTAAGAGCTTGGTGGAGTCTGAGTTACAGCTTGAAAGCAACCCTCTGTAGCATGGTTTTGCCTCTTGGTTCTCTAACTATTGGATTGGCTCGTCACCGTGCCTTGTTGTTCAAAGTATGTAACTTGCTCTCTCTTACTTTTCTTTCCATTGTGTGATAATTAGCAAAATTGGGGCAACTATTTTTTTAATCTCGTGACTGTTGAAGCTTCTTGCTAGTTTGATGCATGTTTAGCTGGAAGTTTGTCATTTTTGCAAAGGCCCTGGTTTCTAGAAACTTATGTTTATTACCTGCGAAGCTTATTGCACCTCTAAAATGCGGTGTGGTGTTTCTGTGTCTTCTTTCTTATGAGACTTTGTAGGTTTTGTGTGATAGTGTCGGTGTTCCTTGTCGAATTGTCAAAGGACAGCAATATACCGGTTCAGATGATGTGGCAATGAACTCCATTAAGACTGATGATGGCAGGTGACTTTCAAATAAAAATAACAATCACTGATGATCTATATTCAACCATTTCTCTATCATTTGTAAAGGAATATGTGTGTGTGTGTATACGTAAAATTGAACATAGGTGCATATGGACTTTTGTGTGTGTTTTAGCTAACTCGCATTTTTCGAAAGGTCAAAACTAATACAGAGAGCTAATTACAATGAACTTTCTTGGTTTATCCAACATGCCGCTGAGAAATGAAAGCAGGATTAAGCTTGTTTTGTGCTTGTGTTGTGGTTATCTCTGCTGCAATTGCAGTTTTTAGTTGCAAAGTATTCTCTCTAACGAATTCAAATGTGAACTTCAGGGAGTATATTGTTGATCTCATGGGAGATCCAGGCACGCTTATCCCTGCTGATGCAGCTGGACTACAAATGGACTATGATGATTCGGTCTACTCTGCCAGTCCCAGAGATGTTGATTCATCTCACGTAGCATCTTCCAGCAGTGGGGTCGAGAGCTCATTTGAAGGGCACACAGAGTCTTGGTCAGCGGAACATCGCTCTAGGACCAAGGGTTCTCGGGAGGAAAAACAATCTGAAGGTGGAGGGGATCTCATGATTCGTCCAAATATGTTTAGGGAAGTTGTGGGAAGTCACAGGGCTCCAGTTCAAGATCTTTTCAGCAAGCATACTCATCCTTTCTCCCATGCCAGATCACCTTCTTGGACTGAAGGTGTTAGCTCTCCAGCCGGACGCAGGATGAAAGTCAAAGATGTTTCACAATATATGATCGATGCTGCCAAAGAGAACCCACAACTAGCTCAGAAGCTTCATGATGTGTTACTTGAAAGTGGAGTTGTTGCTCCTCGGAATTTATTTTCGGAAGTCTATTCAGAGTCGATGGAGGCAACAGGTGAACTGAAATCTGTGGCTGAATCCAGTGATGAGAAAGGGAGAGATTCTGGAACAATTCAACAAATAAGAAACCAGAGCAATCTTGGTCCTGTGAGGTTTTTGCCTCCACTCCCAAGACCGCAACATAAAGCATATACTCATGACATACGTGAACATTCAGGACATGGACTCGGTCATTTGTCTGATTCGTCACATTCTGAAACATCTATTGACTATCCCAGAAATGTTCCTGTTGCCGTTGCTGCAGCGGCTGTTGTTGCATCTTCCATGGTTGTTGCTGCCGCCAAGTCAGCAAACTCGGATTCCTCCACCTTGGAACTTTCTGCTGCAGCTGCTGCTGCTGTTGTGGCGACAGCTGCAGCAATGAGCAGGCAGCTTGAACTAGATTCACAAAGCAATGGTGATGCTGGTTCTGGTGGGCTTCACGGGCCAAATTCAGGAGGAGAAAGAATATCCGACAGATCTACTGGCAATGAAAGCTCAAAATCTGATGCTGCGATTGATGATGTGGCTGAATGCGAGATTTTGTGGGAGGAAATTACTGTGGCTGAGCGTATTGGACTTGGTACTGACTTATGCTCTAGTATGTGCTTTAGCATAACTAATGCTACAACCAAATAAGTTTTTTTAGATTTACCTCTTTTGATGCAGGATCATATGGAGAGGTGTATAGGGGAGATTGGCATGGAACTGTGAGTATATTTGCCTAACTATATTACAGTAGCAATGTAACTAGAGTGGTATATTTGCTTATTATTTATTCCAAAATCGATGAAACTCTTGATTTGGTAGGCAGTGGCTGTCAAGAAGTTCATTGACCAAGACATTACTGGAGAGGCACTGGAGGAATTCAGAAGTGAGGTACTAGCCTTTCCATCTCTGGAAAAATTTTTACCCTTTCAATTTTCAAACACTAAACAGCTAAGTAAAGATTCGTAACATTTCATTTCAATTTGATGAAAGGTCCGGATGATGAGAAGGCTCAGACACCCTAACATTGTTCTCTTCATGGGAGCTGTAACCCGCCCACCAAACCTCTCAATTGTTACAGAATTTCTTCCTAGGTATTGCTACTTTCCTTTCTTGATTCAGTCTCTTCTCTGTGTGTACTTTCCTTGGATCTTTTTACTGTAAAGCTTTTTCCTAATTTTGAAGAAATTTTTGCTTGTGCAGAGGTAGCTTGTATAGGTTAATCCACAGGCCTAATAACCAATTGGATGAGCGAAAGCGTCTGAGGATGGCTCTTGATGCTGTATTATTACTCATTTCTCTTCCACTTATTTTATATGTACTATCTATTTTTACCTTCTTCATTGTTTCTTACAAGAAATTTCCGACCTTTGTAGGCTCGTGGGATGAATTATTTGCACAGCTGTAATCCGGTAATTGTACACCGTGATCTGAAATCTCCAAACCTTCTCGTTGACAAAAACTGGGTTGTCAAGGTCAGAAATTCTTCCTCTCCAATTGTATTTTTTCTCTCCTACCAAGATATTGTTATCAATATCATATCTCTAGACTCTAATGGCGTACATATTTCTCAGGTGTGCGATTTCGGATTGTCTAGAATGAAACTAAGCACATACCTCTCTTCAAAGTCAACAGCAGGCACGGTAAGCTGCTAGAAGCAATTCACTAGTTCATCAAACCGAAGAATAGATTTGCTTTTCTCCTATGGTTTAATCTGAAAAGACGTGATGTCTTACTTGCCAGTTGATTGATCTAAGCTAGGTTTAATTTAGTGTTTGCTCATTTCAGGCTGAATGGATGGCTCCAGAAGTGCTTAGAAACGAACCTGCGGATGAAAAGTACGGTTTTTTTTAGCTCTTTACCTGAACAAAACATGCGTCTAGCTTATGTTTTACCATGTGATGTTGTTCCCTTCTAAGAACCAAATCCATTATGTGAAAAACAGGTGCGATGTGTACAGCTATGGAGTCATTCTCTGGGAACTCTTTACGTTACAGCAGCCATGGGGGAAAATGAACCCAATGCAAGTTGTTGGCGCGGTTGGATTTCAACATCGGCGACTTGAAATCCCTGAATCTGTGGATGCTGGAATTGCAGATATCATCACGAAATGCTGGCAGACGTAAGTGTTACAATCACTTTGTTGTTGAATGATGATATCCAAATTGCATATATCACTTTGTTTTCTTATGATTGTTTTATTATCTGGTTTTGTTAGGGATCCAAGGCTAAGACCAAGTTTTGCAGAGATCATGACTTCTCTAAAGCAGCTACAAAAACCTGTAGTGACTCCAAACATTCAGAGAGCAGTTGCCAGTTCTTCTTCATTGATCACTGAGCAGGAACAATAGTACATTTGAAGAAGAATATGACTAAATGATGTTGATTGTGATGATGATGGTTGGATCATTCTTTTCATGTTTTGTTGTCTTGTGCTGTCGATGTGTAATTTCCCCATGTTTTCTTTGCAAACTGTAAAAATGAAGAAAAGAAAAAATGGGTAAAAAAGAAAAGAAAATTGTTTTGTTAATGGTAAAAAAACATTGAGAAATTGAACAATCATTGATTCATTTCCCTTATATACAGAAATTAAAAAGACCATTACGAGGACTTAATAGTTCACTGTTCTGTCCCAAACCGAGTTCTGTTTGTTCTGTTGCAAAATAAAATAATTAATTCGTTCTTCAAAGTAACATCACACGAATAAGATAGCGTTATATACTGATAGAAGGAGCTAATTTATGTAATCTCTAGAGCTAAAAAAAATGGCGAATCTCTTCACTGCTACGGCTCCTTTCCTCTCACAGCCGTTCACTAAAGCGGCATCGTTCCAACAGTGCTACGCATCTTCTTCCACTCCGCCGGAACAGAACCCTCCACCTCAGCCAGAGTCTTCTCCTCCTCCTCCTCCGTCTCAGTCGATAAGCACTGCCTCGACGGAGCAGCCGGTCGCATCGCAACAGAAGAGAAAGAAGAGCGTCGAGTCAACGGATTGGGTCGCTTCTTCGTTGACGCGGCGGTTTGGAATCGGAGCTGGTCTTGCCTGGGTTGGGTTTCTGGCTTTCGGCGTCGTCTCCGAGCAGATCAAGACACGGATTGAGGTCTCTCAGGAAGAAGCTAATACAAGGTTTCACCACTCTAATTTTTCAAATTTTTGAGATGGATGTTTTGGAGAGTGTTCTCCAATTTGAACAGAGTCTCTTAATTCGTTTTACGCATTAATTAACAATCGAAGAAAAATGATCCGTCTTTAATCATAGATTACTCTCCTTTGATCCTATTATCAATCTCACACGCTTTGTAACATGTTTCTTTTTTTGGGTTTGTTTGCAGAGATGTAGAAGAAGAGAAAGAAGTTATCTTGCCCAACGGCATAAGGTACAATTTGTTTTCTCGGTGTCTCTTTTTAGTGTATGAGTGCTATTGAAGCTTTTGAGTTTTGATGTAGACATTCATCACAAAACAAACAGCTCGTCGATCAAGTCATTGTTCTGATTGGTCTATGAAATGGAACCGTGCAGGTACTATGATATACGGCTAGGAGGAGGAGCAACACCAAGACCAGGTGATTTGGTAGTGATTAATCTAAAGGGGCAAGTGCAAGGAACAGGGCAAGTATTCGTGGACACATTTGGAAGCAAAGACAAGAAAAAGCCATTGGCGCTTGTGGTGGGTTCAAAACCATACAACAAAGGATTATGCGAAGGAGTTGATTATGTTCTAAGGTCGATGAAGGCTGGAGGTAAAAGAAGAGTGATCGTACCACCAGCTTTGGGATTTGGAGAAGACGGTGCTGAATTGGAGTCCGGTTTGCAGATTCCGCCAAATGCTTCGCTGGAGTATATAGTTGAGATTGATAGAGTCTCAATTGCACCTGCTTGAGTTGTATAGCTTTGGTCTGTTTGTCAAATCCTTTCAGTGTGTGTTGTATGAGAGATTGTGGATGGAGGGAATTAGTGTAAAGTTACAAACTTTATCTTATATAGAGATGTAAAGAGGATCTCAAGGTCTGATTAGTAAAGTATGTTGACCAAATATATATACAAATGGAATAAGTAATTCACCAAATAATTCGTTGACAACATTTTGATGGAATAATTCTTGCTTGGTAATTAACCAACACATAGACCAAGCGTGTTTTTAATCTGTGTGTATGGTTGATAACCACATAACTTCATCGGAGTCTCACCAATTAGACGGCGACTTTTTGTGAGATCTTCAAACTACAAATCCCTTTTCTTCTCTGTAGACGGGGAAAGGAACAGGCTTGGAATCGCTTCTCTTCAATTGAGCTAGTTTTCTCCGGCGAAAAGAGAATCATCGGTAATTGCTTTCGTCGGAGAGGATGGTAAAGGTAATCGATTCCCATTACCTGGCCGTCACTGCCATTGTCACCGTAAGTCTTCTGCTTTTGGTGCAATCAATTCCTTTGCCCGGTTTATCTGTTTCGTTCCCCCGAGTTGGGTCTTTTTGCTAATTTCATGTTTTTTGTTGTAGGTGGGTTATCAATTCATATTCTTCGTAATCACAGCTCTTTTCAAATTTGATCAAGTTACGGACTTTGCCGGTACGATGATCTTCTTACTTGTGTGTTTTTAACTCGCTGAATTTGGTTTGGGCTCTCAAATAATAATTTGTACTTCTTCTTCCGATTGTGATTACGAATGTGTTAACTCGTTTTCATTTCGTGGACTTTTGCTAACGTATGACTCAAAAATGTTTCTCAGGGAGTACTAATTTTGTGATACTTGCTGTACTGACTCTGGTTCTCAGAGGGACATGGCATTATCGTCAGGTTTAAATCTCTTCTTGTTTTCTGCTTCTCACACGCAGCGCCTCTCTGAGCTAATCTTTCTTCTAAAATGTCGTTGGTGTATTGAGCTCTTCTGCTTGGTTCTGTATAACTGACTCAATTAATTTTAACCTCCCAGATAGTCTTAACTTCGCTAGTAGTCGTATGGGGACTTCGTCTGGGATTGTTCCTCCTGATGAGGTATATTCTCTGCACCATGATTCATTCATTAGCTAGTTAGCTATATATATTGATATGCATGTACAAATATTAGGCGAGAGACAGAGAGATATACATAACAGTTGATGACGTTTTCTAGTCATGTCTGATGTATATGTGAATAGGATCTTGAAATGGGGTGAAGATCGACGCTTTGATGAAATGCGTGGAAATATTGGGAAACTAGTAGTCTTTTGGACTCTTCAGGTTAGCTACAACCTTTGGCTTTTCATCTATCAAAGTTATATGCTTGTGATTCTAACATCATGTGGGTTTTGTCCTTTTTAACTTGCCAGGCAGTGTGGGTTTGGACAGTTAGTTTACCTGTTACTTTTGTTAACGCAAGCGACGGAGGAAGATTGTTTCAGCCGGCAGATGTTATAGGCTGGACAATGTGGGTCGCAGGGTTCTTGATTGAAGCTACAGCTGATCAACAAAAGCTTTCGTTTAAGAACTGTCCAGAAAACAAAGGAAAATGGTGCGATGTTGGAGTGTGGAACTATTCACGCCATCCAAACTACTTCGGTGAGGTTAGTATTGCTGAAAGAGAGACTTTTATCAATATTTGTATGCGTTGAAGAAACTCCAAAAACAGACATTGATGGGAGTGATTATGAGTTTCAGATGTTACTCTGGTGGGGCATATATGTGGCTTCATTGCCTGTTCTTAGAGGTGCAGAGTATCTTGTCATAGTTGGACCAGTCTTTCTCACTTTGCTGCTTTTCTTCGTTAGCGGCATACCATTACTCGAGGTTCTCTCTCTCTCTCTCTCTCTCTCTACTCCCCACTTTGACACTTTCTAAATCACACAGCAGAAGTCAACAGTCTGATTATCTATGAGTGCAGGCATCGGCGGACAAAAAATACGGTAACTCGGCAGCTTATAGACACTATAAGAAGACAACTAGGTATGATATGATCTCTTTGAAACACCATTGTTGTCCCTCGAGGTGTGTAATAAGAGCTACTTTGAATATTTGGTTTACAGTCCTCTGATTCTCTTCCCGCGAGGAGTGTATGGCTACTTACCAAAATGGTGCAAAACAGTGTTTCTCTTTGAGTTTCCTTTCTACAGCCGTAATCTCCCTCAAGAAACTACAGTCTGGTGAGTCTCTTGGATACTAATGAAATGTAACCCTACAAAGTTTGTACTATGAACTTATGAGCTTTTCACATTTTATTACGCGCAAGGGATAGAGGGAACTCGAAGAAGAAGAGCCGGAGGAGTATTGACTGAGAGAGAGAGAGAGAGAGAGAGAGATAGAGAAAGAGAAAGAGATTGTTACAGTTCTTGGCAAAACCCTGTCTCCTGAGTTATTTCATGATCAAACTCTCTTCTTGTATAGATTCTTATCTTTTCTTTGAAGATTTGTGAAAAGTGACTGATACATTGATTGAGATTCAAACCAAACTTAAAAGAAAGTGTTGGAAGGAAAAAATTACAAATGACTCAAAAAGTAAGTTCTTTGATCGTTACACTAAAAAAGAAAACTATTGAAGGGAACTATTACTGAAATTCTCTAAGGAAATCACTGCACCTGATTTAAGTTCACTTGAAGAAGAATCATTGGAATGAGAAAGTAAAATGTATAACACCCAGAGATGAAGGCAAACCAGATACAGCAGAGCCCATATTTTGGCGGTTGGGTTTCTACGCAAGAAGACGGTTCCGGAGACGAATATAGCGTTCAGCTGCATCACCAACCATCCTAAATGTTTCTTGCCTGACCGGATTTTATCTTGAAAAGCTGGTTTAAGCTTTGATCCCGAGAGTTGCCATTCCCCAGCTTCAAGATCTTGGGACGAGGCTTCGGTTGCAGACATACCTTTGTTCTCTTCAATAAGCCTTGATACGGCCTGACAAAGAATGAAAATTGGGTTGTGTGTGACGAACATATTTTTCTTTTCTTTTTGGGAGCAGATTGGTGGGATTCATCAATGTACCTCGATTCTAAAGGATAGAGTTGCTTTCTCTGAGGAAAGCGCTTCAACCTAGTAAAATTTGGCAAGAGAGTCGGAAGTTTTTTATATAAGTTTTGTCTGAGCTCTCTCTATTTTTAAGTGTTTGATATACCTGGGACTGTTTTTGAATAAGATGGTCGGTTAGCTGGTCAAGTCTTCGTTTCAGTTCATTCTCCACTTCAGTTGGTTCTTCGAGTTCTTTCCTCATCGTTCTGATGTCTGCTTCCAGTTTATCTGCCTGGAGTTTTAACAAGGAATCAAGGTAAAAATAAATGAATAGTGAGAGTCTGTGCCTCGAATTTAATCAAATCTTGAAGAATAAACAGCCCAATTATATTATACAGCTGCATATATGATATACCAAATAGGAATCATTTCATATGAAACCTGAAGAATAAGTCAACCGGGAAACTGTGGTAGCTAACCTTATCTTGTAACCTCCCGATTTTATCAGTCAGCAGAGAAATCTCTGCTTCAAGCATCTGGTGTTCGAATATGTCTCCTCTAGAAGTATCTAACTACACAGCCCACACGTAAGCAGCATGATCTCAGACCAAATAGAGAAAGATGACCATACAAATAAGAACAGGAAAACAAAAGTAAAGGACGACTCAATTCACCTTGTTTAAATGTTTTCCACTTCCCCATATATTTTTTTGCTTCATTCCTACATGATAATTATCCCGAAATGACTATGAGCGGTAAAACAGAGTGATTTGGAGGGAAGTCTTCAACACATATCAGTGTTCCTCAAAGAAAAAAACATATACCTTCAAGAGCAGACTCTTTAAGCTCAACTTGTTCTCGGAGTACTGCTACCTGATCAATCTGGTCACATCAGAAAAGAAAGATATTTAGTAACAAATGCAGATATAGAAGTTGGTTCTAAAACCTTGATCCAAGCTTCCATTCATCAGATGATCTACATCTTTAAGTAACAACGATCATGAACTTGTTTGCCTTTAGTCCTTTACTATTCTTCAATTTCAGCTAAATAATACAAACCAAAACAAAATAACTAGATGGAGTAAAGTAACCTCTATACCTGAGTTTCGAGCTTCTTCTGCCCAGCAGCAAGCGATCTTGTAAGTTCAGCATTTGACGCCTAAAACATGCCATTTCGTATGTTTAAATAAAAAAATCAAGTCATCTTGCTCCTTTTATAAAGTAACAACACTAAGATCAATTTCAGATGTCAGCAAACAAATTACGCACTCTGTAATACCTCTAATCCGGCCAAGCGTGAAAAAACTTCCATTCTAGTATTGTTATGCTTCTGTTTTTCAAGGTCAGCAGCTTCCAGTGTTTCCATCATGTTTGTTTGCAATTCCGCAGCCTAGCGAAATAGGACAAACACAGCATATATAGTTCATACAGCTCAAGTAATACAAATATTAAATCATAATATAGGTGTTGCAGCTATCATAAGCATAGTGATCTTTGCAGGTCAGTCCCAAGAGTACAACTAGTTTTTGCTGGTGTCAACAATAACGAGCATGCCATTTCTTAATCTGAATTACGTAATATGCATGCTTGCATATTTTCAGTCGAATCACAACACAAAGTCAAAGATTAATCCTAAATATCTACTACCGTCATCATTCCAAGGAAAAAGCTTTATGATTCATTACCTCTTGTGCCTGTTGTTTAGCTCGTTCTTCGACTATTTTCTCTAAACTCTGTTTTTCACCCTCAAGTCTTGCTACCATATTCTCTCGCTCTTTGATGACCTCTACAGCTTTTGCCGCAACTTTTTCAGCAAAAACTTTCTCTCTTCTTCTCCTCCGCTCATCCCTCTGACGCTCCCTCTCAGAGTCAGTGCTTGAATCAGACTCATAATCTGATTCAGACTCATCACTTGATAAAGAAGAACCCTCCCTCTTCACACCATCAGAAACATTGCTCCCCGAGACTTCTCCCCTCGCCTGCTTTCCCCATACAGCACTTCTTCTCGGCTCACGACCATATTTTTTCCCTACATCTGACAAATTTTCCCTGCTGAAAGTCTCACTACTCGATCTTGTGGAGTCATTCAGGGGAGGTGGCGCAGCACTGAAATCCTTCTCACTCTCTTTGTTAGTTGACTTCACAAATATATCCTGAGAAGCATTCTTATTATCCATGTCAGCATCAGAAGGGCTTGACACTTCCTTGTCGCTTGGTTCCTTGTTCAGCTGTTTCTGTGGCTTTCCTCTGGAATCCACCACATTACCATTACTCTTCTCACTCCTCTTTCCATCAGCTACCAAAGTATTTTTCCCCAAACTCCCCTGCCTTTTCCCATCCTTTTTCAATCCCCGAACCGCAGATGTTCCACGGGGAGTACGAGGCTTAGAAATGCTCGTCCCTTGATTTGGAGCACTCAGAAGCTCTGTCCAATCAGTGTCAGTTACTGAAGGTTTCTGCTGTGCCAAACTTGGTGACGGTGAACTTGTCCTTTCTTGGGATTGATCTGGTTTGCGTAAATTTTTACTGCTACTTAAGTAGGTCGGTTTTTGATCGATTGAGTTTCTCTGAGATCCACCATAATCACTACCTTCAGGTGTTTTCTTCCTCAGCTGATCTTTCAGAGAAACAGGACTTCCAGATTTTGAAGAGGTCTCAAACACCTCGTCAGGTGTCTCAGACTTCTCATCCTTTCTAAGAGATTCTGCTGCCTGCTGATCGAGCTGAAAAAATCCCAGTTTACATAAATCCCAAGTTAGCATCAATTAAATTCATAGCCAAGTTAATATACTTCAATTAAGTTCCATGACTTGACTTCAAATTTATATTGAACTACAGATTTGACAAGAACGCAAAACTCTGAAAAAGTAGATGCAGAAATTGGTGCTTTCTCGAGGCATTTCAATCAACAGATGGTTTAACAAACAACATTGCCAATTGATTTAAATCTAAGCACGGATCATGTCCATTTGAGATGAAGATCCTAATTCAGGAAGAACAAATTCACTTCCCATAGAGAAAACTTGCGCTAAACATTTTCACAACATCAAGGAAATCAAAACATCAATCTAAGAGGAGATTTCAAATCATGGAAGAACATTTGAGTCCCAAAACCATCCAAATTATAAAGATCGAAATTTAACTAGAACCCAACGACTTCCAAATCGGATAATTCCATCAGAATTTCATTTTCACAGCTATCTGTGGAAACAAACAGAAAGAGTAATGAGATTCGACAAATCACCTGTTGAAGAATCGTTTCGGCGGCTTTGAGCTTCGACGAGATCCAATTCGCCATTTTCTTCACTATCCCTAAGAAAGTGAGGATAAAAAACCCAGGCGGCAACGTATTATCACCCAAACTGATTCTTAATTACAGTCCCATCAGAGAAAACGAGGGAGGAACAAGAAGAAGAAGAAGAAGAAGAAGATGCTCAAGTGACGAGACGGTTACGTAGTTAATTAACAAACCGAGAAGTAGACTCTACACCAACCGAACCGAATCCGGTTCAGCTTTCGGTTTACAATTCATTTGTCTTTGGTTCAATTATTCTTATCGTTGCGTTGCGTGGTCTTATGTGCTTTCTGTTTAACGTTAAATGCAAATAATTATACGAGAATAATTTTAAAAAATATATAAAAAACAGCCAAGTCAACATTATCAAATTTGCAAAACTATACAAAAGATATCATACAGAATAAAATACAAAATATATCAACTTAATTAGTTTACTAGAAGCAACAATTGGAGAAAGAAATACTCAACGGTCGAGTGGCGGTAACTTCGTGAATATCTACAATCTCTTTACCGGCGGGAACGACCGTACCACCATCTTCACCGTTGGATTTGTTGTCTAAAGCGAACTTCTGGATCAAAACCTCGTGTATCCGTCCGATCATGCTTAAAAACGCTTCTTCTACGTTTTGGTTCTCTAAAGCCGATGTCTCAAGGAAATAGAGACCCTCTAGCTCAGCTAGCGTCTTGCCCTCTTCTTCTTCAACTTCTCTAGAATGCCGGAGATCGGACTTGTTACCGACGAGAACAACCACCGTCTCGGAACTAGAGAAGTCTCTGAGCTCCGACAACCATTTGTTGATGTTTTGGAACGTTTTCCGTCTTGTGATGTCGTAGATCAGTAAAGCTCCTAATGCTCCACGGTAATACGAACTCGTTATAGCTCTAAATCTTGTTACCCAAACAAAAGCAATAATTAAGATCATTAAAAAAACGTAGATTGTTAATTAAGTAACTAGATATGTCTCAATTCTAAAAATAAGAAAAGAAATGGTCGACATAAACGTAATTCTTTCATGTAACCAAAAAAAAAAAAAAAAAAAAAAGAAGAAAAGGTCGCGACATCTAACTAAGATTAGGTCCGCGTGACATTGATTGCTTGTCAATATTTTCTTTTTTCTTCTTCGCATGATCTCTTATCCTAATCATTATCCCAATCCTATATTTCTTACTAAACAATTGTATATTTTTTTTCATTGTTTTTTGATTTTTTCACATATTTACCATTCAGCATAAACACACAAACAATGATTGTCAATAATACACGACGAGGATTTAAACAAATTTGACGTCTTGTTTGACTGTGTATGAATCTCAGAGGCTAAATTTGGTTACCTTTCTTGGCCGGCTGTGTCCCATATCTGAGCCTTGATGGTCTTATCACCGACCCGAACATTCCTGTAAGCAAAGTCTACTCCAATGGTCGGTTTAGAGTCTAACCGGAACTCATCTCTTGAGAACCTCGACAAGAGGTTCGATTTTCCAACGGCGGAGTCTCCTATCAGCACCGCCTTGAAGAGGTAGTCGCACTCTTCGTCGTACGAGTCCTCCGCCATGTTATATAGTGTCCCGGTTTATGTAAGTAAATTGAAGAAAAGGGAAGAATATCGATGCAGAGGAAAATAAAGATATCGATCGGTTATGGAAATCTGAAGGAGAAAGGGTTTGATGTATATGAGAATCTCTGAAGAAAGTCTTTCCATTCGGTATATATGGGCTCTATTTTGTTGAAAATATGTATGAACGTCATATGATTACGACAAAATATATAAATATTAGTTTCTTTTATTCTTGGAAGAGGACGAAATAAACTTTTGAGGGAAAGTATTAGAAGAAAAAATGATACGAACATGACAAGGATAAAAGAGGCGTGAAAGAGATCTATGCAAACTCACTTTTTGTGTTCGCTGACGTCATCATTTTTTGTAGGAGAAAAAAAAAACACATCCAACGGCCATAATCTTAACTAATCAATCAAACAGACGGTCACGATTAATCAGAAAACCCACTATTCGGACACTGCTGATGTCATCATTTTAAAAACTCATCCAACGGTCATAATCTTATCTAACTAATTAAACGGATGGTCAAGATTAATCAGAACAAAATCTGCAGCCAAGGTTGCGTTGTTCACGAAGGCGTCTCTCTTTTGCTCTGCGAAATGGTGCAATCATTAGGTAGAGATGCGTTAGGAAAAGTCATCTCTTTTGGATTGAACGAACGTGTCTTTTTAATCGCAGCCATTTGAGTAGCCTCTCCTCATAGTTATATTATATATAATCCAATTCGTTATAGATTGTTACTTTTTCCATGAAGTTCTCACAACATGTATCGTCAAACGATTACGGTGGTTATCTCTGGCGTTCATCATCACCATTCCGAATAATCGTCAATTACAATCACCATTTGAATCTAATTCCCACAGTTATGTTGACCGAGACGGATAGAGGTATACATACTCTTCTTAGATTGATGCTTAAAATCCTTTTACGATTTCTTAACACGTTTTCTTAGTCAAAATTGTTTGTTTGCATGATAGATGTTGTTGTTACTATCTGCTGATTGCACTAACAACATCCGTGTTTACCTGCCTTCTTTCCGGTATGTGTTTGTATATGCATGAACCTAGGATTCTGAAAAATAGATTGCCGAGAATCAAAGAAGGGAGAGTCCACAACTATTACGGCAGTCTGCTCAGATGGAACAGGCGATGATCACATTGAACGTTTTTTTTAACTCCGACGCCTCTTGTTCATAACACTTCTCTGAAATAACAAACCTTTTCATAATCGCCTCCTTCTTGTTCTTCTTTTGTTCCAGCCACAAAACTCCACATAACCGATAGAGTTATAAACGAAAAATGGAAGAAGGTGATCATAAGTAGACATCTTCGAAAATTGAAACCATGATTGAATTTTGTAACTTCATAAAGATACACTGAAAAGGTGTAAGAAACTTTAGTTTGAATGGTTATTCAATTTTGGAAAGTCACGTACCAATACGAATAGTGACGTATCGTTACGAACGTTTGCGTCTGTTCATGTAAAAATCAGTATATAAGTTGCGGTCTTGTGTAAATGTAAAGAAAGCATGACATAAATAAAATTTTCAGATTTAATACTTTTTCCTTCTGCGACTTTTAATTTCTTTGATCGGCATCGACATCGTTTCACTCTTTGTTTTAGGTTTTCTTTTTCCTTTTCACCTTCGGGTCATGTGCATTTTCCAGAATATGGATTAGTGATTACGGAAAGAGGTGTCGACTGCGGAAGAAACCGACAGAGAGACGTCAGAAACGGCGAGAAATCACGCGGAAGCTAGGTGAGGGATGCGAGATAGAAGAATCGGAGAAGAAAATGAGGGAGAAGAGAAGAGTAGCTCCGAATCTGATGGGTTCGAGAAGATAGGACCAACAGTGGATTATCCGGGAGAGGAGATGCAGTGGCCCAATCATCTACTGTTCCATAGCTTTTTTACCGAAGATTGGCGGCGAAAAGAGTTGTTTATAGTAATGTTGTCACTCACGCCCATAATGGTATCAACAAACATGTTGAGTTCTTGTCCTTAGTTTTTTCACACAGTTTCCTTGATTCCTCGATTGTTTCTATTAAAATAATTTAAAGAAAAAGTTTGTCTAACCCAAACAAATTGTGACATTTGGAATATTTTTGAACAATTGAAATGAGTTCTTCAACGTTTCAGTAGGAAGGGTACCTTCTCTTTAGAACACGTCTCCTTCATTGAAACGTCACCATTTACATACACTTCCTTTTGTTAAATGCTTCCACCTTTTCGGAGTTGAATTGTCAATTACTGTCTCCTAAAATTTGTCTGGGTGGGCTCTCTACATATTGGTTTACAACTCTCATGAATGGTTTTTTAATAGTTATCAAATTCTCTTATGATTCCTAATTACCTACAAGAAGGGGAGGGGACAACTGTGATGATCGATTGCCTTAATTAGGAGAATATGATTAACGAAAAGACGAATGGATGCATTTCTCTTACTTGGAGTTTTTAAAGTGTTAACTAAATTAAGAAAATGAAGAAAATAAACAACAAAAAACAAATTTCTAATGCTTTCTTCTTCTTTGTGCATCGAAGTAAATGATATAGTGATTAAGAATTTAAGATGTATGAACATTAAGATACCGTTTTTCACATGCAGATAGAGCAGCGTTAAGTATTTTTGATCACACAAAATAATTTAACTAACGTTTCCCTATTTTAACGTTACCCTTGGTTTTAAACTTCAAATATGTTCTTGAACAAAATGGACATTCTAATATAATAATGTAAATTTACCGAGAATGAGTCATATAACTCATATTATATTTTTAAAAATCATGTATATATATAATAAAAAATGCTATCTCATATATTTTATAAATGCAGATTTCAAATACAGATTTAATTTGACATAAAATATTGTTAATTTATTTTAATTTTCTAATAAGAAATTTAATTGAGCGCGTTGGACGCGCGGATTTGCTACCTAGTTTTACATAATACAATCCAACATTTTTTGTTACGTATATATTTATTTGTCAAATACGTTTATCTATTTGGTGATTAAAATATTCTGCCTTTATTAACTTGTTGTTATGTTACTTGATATTAAAAGAATGAATTTGTGATTTTTTTTTATCGTCTATGATTTTTTGTAGGTTCTCAAGTGGGTAAAGCTCAATCATGCATGTACGTCTGAGCTTTGACATTTTACCAAACTCACTCAGCGTTAGGTTTGACTTTAACCCAAATAAAACAGATAAAAAAAACAAGGCTCTTTGGGCCTGAAATGGGCTTCAAGAGGCCGGTTTTTCTTAAGAAACAAGTCGACGTTCTTTTCATGACATTTTTAATCTTTACTCAAAAGGAGAGAGTAGTGGAATACGATTCGCAGACGTCGCGTTCTTTGTTGTTTTCCCCAAATACACATACAATTGAATTCCATCTCTATAATTCAGCTATATAGCCTCGGTTTTTTATTTTGTTTTGTTTTAAACATTTACCGCTCTCTTATTTCGACGTCGGAAAATGGACTAATAGGACAAGGAAAGTATCATCGATTTGGGAAACTAACTTAATAAAATTACGCGTCGATCGAGTCATTTAATTCAGACGTTCATTAACATTAATTCATCGAAACCAGATCTTCAAATTTAATTTAATACTAGCACTTGCAGCGAAATTACTTCCCAGAGAAAGAGAAGGATCCAAATCTTTTAATCGAAGTCTACCTTTATTTTGTATTGTGATTCCCTAGAAGCTAAGATTGTCATACTTTTCCAGCACTCATCGGAAATGTGAGACCGAATCTATGCCAAAATAATTCGAAATTGATTCAAAACTATAGTATCGAGAGAATGCAGAGGATTAGAGGAAGAAAATTAGAAAGCAAATTTGTTTGAACTTTAAACAAAGCAACGATATATCCATAAGCAGATCTAAATCTCCACCATAGTTGTATGATAACAGATAGATTCAAAGTTAGACTGATCACATTTTAAAAAAAAGTTTAACTAGCATAGTAAATTATTCCCATGGATAAACCAGTTTCAGAGAATCCAGATTTACGCAATCGAACAAATCTATAAGGACCCTAGGCCGAACCTCCGTTCGCCGCAGCAGGAGCGGATCCGCCGTTGCCGTTGATGAGCGAGGATGACGTCATCATTTTCTGAAACTCTTCGAAATTGACATTTCCATCGCCGTCAGCATCTACAGGCCCGATCATGCGAGAGCAGTCTTCGACGGAGCAGGGCATCCCGAGGCGGTTAAGGACCTGGTGAAGCTCAGCGGCGGAGATGAGTCCGTTTTTGTCCTGATCGTAGAGATCGAAGGCGTCACGGATCTCGGTTGCGGTTGAAGACGAGCGGCAGAGAGTCGTGAATTCGTCGACGTTGATGAAACCGTCGCGATCGGTATCGACCTCCTCCAGGACGCGGTTGAGTTCAGTCTCCGTGTACGAAGTCCCCATGGCCTTAAAAACGCCGCCGAGCTCAGCAACCGAGATCTTCCCGTCGCCATTAGAATCGAACTGGTCGAAGACCTTCTTAAGCTCCTCCGGATTCGCCATGTCCACCGGTGCAGGCGTGGGTTTTACGGTTTCAGGATTGGTGCTTGCCATTTTTTTCTGTTAAAGGTAAAGTTAGAGAGAGAGAGAGAGAGAGAGAGAGAGAAAAAAGTGATGTTGATGAGATTTGGGGGAATAGGAGACTGCTGAGTTTGACCTTTTTATAGACCCTCCTTTTGTGATTCGGTAGATGCCCTTTTACAAACGCGTATCGCAAAAGCCACACGTATTTTGGTAGACTTCAATTAGAAATTTGGAATCGAATCTTGTGTATTTAACTCGATATTAAGGGTAATAACCCGAAAAGTGGGGCATTATATGACTCTTTCCACGTGTTACATTGGATAAGTAACACGCGACCATGTCACGTGCCTTCACGAGATTTGCATTTGTTGAAAACTAAAGATGTGTTATTTATTTGATTGTATTTTTGAAACAGAGTTATATACTTATATCTAGAGTTATTCAATTGTTTATTTGAAAAAAAAAACATTAAAATCCATTAAAATTCACTGTTATTAGATTAAGTATAAGTTTGATGTATTTCAAAATACAATAAAAACAAGTGTTATTCAATTTTGATTTGATTATTTTAGAAAACAGTTTTATTGAATTTCAATGGATTTTCTCTCCTAAAAACATGAGGAAAACAAATATATGAGTTTTGTCATATTTTAAAATCCTTATCATAGGATTGTGATGAATTCATTAAAACTCAACAAATTCCTTCAAAATTAAACTATTTTAAAACACTTAAAAACACAATCCAAGAACATTGTCTAAATGGATTACCTCTAAAAGATGGCACTTATGGTATTGTTTCTGGATTTCATTGTTTAGAGAATTATTTTAAAACATTCACGTCTTGATATCTAAATTCATTAGCTGATTCAATCTTAAACTAGTGGTTTTATATGATAATACATTAATACTACAAGTAGTATATGTTAATACCTTTGTTTAGTTAAGAAAATTCATCAAAGAAAAAGACCAAGACAGTTGACGCAAAAAATGCTAACGTGAGTGAGAGTGATGAGAAATGTGTCTCAATCAAACGCGTTAAACGCGTCAGCTACAGACGCTCCTTTACGCGGTCTGATAATATCTAGTGGGGTCAGTTTTTATTATCTACATATATGATATATCTATCTTATCATTGTTCCGAAAAATTACATATCAATCCAAAACTTAGCCGTATTTCACATTCAACATATTGTAAATATCAACTCCTTCATCTTTAAGACTTTAACCAAACCAGACGGTTAGCTTTCTGTTTCAGCCTTCTCGTGAAGCTTGGACTGCAAGACACCGTTGTTCATAGCCAAGACCCAAGAACACATTTATGCGGGATAAAACTCTAACAGAGCAGCTTCTGAACATTTATATAACGCTCGTTATATTCGACTGGTCTTTTGGCGAACTTGTGGTCGTTATTTCAGCTCGATGCCACACTGGTCTTTATATAACTCTATCGATCCATACCGTGTGGCATCGAGCTGAAATGGCGAACTTGTTCGTCCCAGAAACTGATGATCTTAATGGAGAATTGCGCATAGAGAAAAAAAGCTCATTAAAACCAAAAAAGAAGAAGAAAAGCTCATGAAGATCTATGTTTGTATGGACGTTTTCCGTTAGTAGTTGCACATAAAAGGGCTGAGACTTTAGAAATTTACACTCACGACACAAATCAACTAAGTAGATTCCATTGATAATTGATAAATGATTTTGCATCTTCAAGAGTGTGACAAATGTAGAGGCAGAAACTCAAGATATCAAAGTACATAACAAGATTTTGTTGCTAATATAAATATATTATTATTAATTTAACGGCGATGGTGAGGGCAAAACGTGACGATGTAGTTAGCCTTGGAGCAAGTAGCGATACTGGTTGGGTCGTCGTAAGCGTAAGAGTAAGCCTTAGGGCAAGCGACCTTGAAGATTTTGGAGTAAGCCGTTGGTTTGCAAGATTGTGGGTTACCGAACAAGCCGGTACAGCAGTATTGTGGCGAGTTGAAAGCAGAGCAAGCGCTTTTACAGGCTACGACCCGTTTCCCGTTACGTGACCGGACTTGTAACCCAACCGGACACATCCGGTTTAGATCGCTTACACAACCGGCGTAGCTACATTGGCCTGAACCTTTCACCGGCATTATCGACATGGCCAAGTTATAACTGTCATTACACAACAAACAAAACAAAAGTATTAAATTTGTGGTAAAGTTTTGCAAAAAAGGAAGCGAGTTTGATGTAAATTTTACAGACCCATCGACGAGGCTGACGTCATAGAAGTCAAGCTCTTGGCCGAGGGTGATTTCGGCGAGAGTGGCCGGTGGTGAACCTCCGGCTCCGTTGCAAGATAGAGAACCGCCGCAGTCTCCAGTGGCGCAGCGACCACGGCCAGATCCGTCGAAGGTGCAGCCGTGGCGACCCCAGAAGCGGCCGGACCAAAGCGGTGGGAGCTCAAGGGTGTGGGCTTTGTTCGCCGGGAGCTTAAATCCACCGCCAGCGAGCAAGTTTTGGCCGGCGCTGGGTTGGATTCCTGGCCACACAGGGTATCTGCATCGGTTGTAGAACACTACCGTTGAGGCTGGTCACAATTACAAAGAACAACAGAGCTAGTTTTGTTACACATCTGCAACTAAAATATCTTAAGCAGATTATGTACTATAAGAGGTGCAAGTCGACGCATTGTAAGTTGTAACAAAGAACAGATTATATACTCAACAGTTTAAACCCATCTTTATGCAAACCATTAAGACTACAGAGACTTTAGAGATCTGGCAGGAAATGTAGAGCAGTAAAAAGAAAACCTGAAGCGTGGGAGAGGAGAAGAAGGAAAGCAAAGTGGAAGACGCTGATTGAAGCCATTGATGGAGCTCTACTGAGCCAAGAGTAAGACTGAATCTAATTCTTACTTCTCAGTGCTTTTTATGGTATTCTAAGGAAAATTGTTTAATGTTTTTGAAAATGTAAAATAAATGGGAATTTGGGGAATGTAATAATGACAAATGTTACCACATTTCTCGAGACTGTCAGACCCAGTTAGTGCGTGATAGCTTTTTTTCTTTTCTTTTTCTTTTACAGTCAAAATAATGTAACTGTCCTCGCATCATCAGTTTTTTTTCACTCTTTCCTATTCGTTATCAAGTGATAATGAGGAATTTAAAAGCATGTCACACACAATATCGTCGAGTAAGCGAAACCATCCAAGTTTTGTCTAACCCTTAACCATTACAAGTAACCCCAGAAAGAGAAAAAGTGAGAGATCCCTAATGTAACATCATCTACAAATCGAAACAAAATGTATGTAGTGGCCTACTAGGGGTTTGCACTTTGCAGCATTCAATTTGGAGTCACGGGTATAAATAAAAGAAACACCAATGTTCCGTACGTAAAAGAGTAGTAAAACAGTTTCATTTGTTTACTTTATACTTTTCAAATTCGAAGCAAGCCTAGTTAACAGTAATACGCCGATCTAAATGTGTCTTTTAGTCATCGACACTTACAATGGGTCCCACGTCTCTCTCTCTCTCTCTTCGATAGATTCGTTTCCCGGGCTTTTTACCCTCTTCAAAACAAATCCACCACGCACATTTGACACAGGATTCGTTCTCCCGCTAGTCCAAATTCAAAGAACAAAAAGACTCTTTTTGTCTAACAATCATCTTTGGCTCAGAGAGTCAGAGTCAGAGGCACAAAAGATTCAATCGCCTGTAAACTTGGTTAATATAACGTAATGGGCCACATCTATTACAGACCTAAGCCCAAAAAGATAACTTACGAGTTACACAAAAAGTACTAACTGTACACCAAAAAAAGATTATTTCTCTGCAATTACAACAATGAAGAAGACGATGATGATAGACCACCACATCACCGTGGGAACGCAGCGAGTTGTTGCGCCACGTCAGCGTCGAGTGGTTGTGCCGCGTCAGCAGCTACTGGTTCGGCTACAACGACGACTTGTCTTCGCTGTCTCTCCCGGAGATAGAGAATTGTAATAAGGCAGACGAAGAGCGTAAGTATCGTCGCATTACCTTCTTCAAACACCACATCCTCAATCCAAGTCTCTACCTTTGGATACACTTCTGGTAATGAATCTACAACTCTCACCTATCAGTCATAAAAAAAAAACACACATTTCCTCTTTTGTCATTTTGATCTGTTTAACAGCATCAAGATTTATTGGAACAGGAATGGAAAAAAATCGGATTTTTTTTTTATTTATTTTACCAAGATGGTATCGGCATAGTTTCTACGGAGCCATAAGCTAGCGAGAGCAAGTGTGACTGGCAATTTGGCGGCTGCATCGCTCTGAAGGGCTTGATCGTAGTAACGTTTTGCTAAATGCAGATCAAAGGGAAGCCCTTGTCCATGCTCGTGCATGTAACCAAGATTGAACATTGCTTGGGCGTTTGACTGTGATTTAGCATGCATATATGCCTCAGCAGCACGCACAAAATCTCTCTCCGTCCCCTAATTAGAGATCAAAGAAAGAGCAAAGAGAGATAATCAGGCGAAAGGTCTTTTAAGTTTTCTAGCTGGACTAAGATTCAACCAGTGTAACATGTCATCTCCTAAGTTATCAGTTTCATGATTTAATTGCAAATGCGAAACTTACCCGGCCGTAGTAATATGCATCTCCAATAAGCAGAGCAGCATGTTCATTGCCTTGTTCAGAGGCACGCCACCACAAAGAATGTGCCCGCTCATGTCTCTCTTTGTCTGTGCAAAACCCAGATACTCCCATGCACATGCTTCTTTCACCGTATTTATCGAGGATCCATGCAGCATTACTTTGTGCTACTTCATAACCCATCTCTGCCATTCTTGAGTATAAGATCAAAGCCTTGCCCACATCACCCTTAAGGTAAGCTTCAAGAGCCCATCTAGAGAGAGAACTCCATGGTCCCCTTTCTGCTACTAGCTTATAAAACGAAGTGGCCTGTAACCAAAATCGTAAGGTAAGTGAACAAACATTTAAAGCACGAAATCCCACAGCAATAATTACCCAAAGTGCTCAAAGAAATTCCTAAAAAATCTAAAAGGAGTAGACATAAGCTTAATGGATACAAGAAATATTGCACTTTGATGCCTTAAATGGATATAAGTTACAGCTAATTACATCCCCTTACCTCGAAAAACAAACATTGAGATACAGCTAATGAGCTATCATTCGTTACTTATAAGAGCAGGCAGCCAAGAAATATATAGAATTTTCATTCCCCTTACTCTGTATGGATTTAAGAATCATTGCATTTAGCATCCATTTAGGCAGAAAAAGTCTCAGAGATAAAGGTAATTACCATTTCCAGGTTCTTTTTAAGCCCAACTCCAGTATGAAACATCTTGGCAAGTTGGTAGAAAGCCTTTGGTTGACCAGCATTTGCAGCAACAAAGAAGTATTTGGTTGCCTGCCTCACATCCCTTTTGACTCCGATGCCTTTAAGATACAAAACGCCAAGGTTGTAATGCCCGCTGGGATCTTCATTGTCAACAGCCTTCTCAAAATATTCTCTTGCCTGCATTTGAAGCAATATATCAATGGAACGTTAGACTCATCTAATTGTTTTACAAGTTTTAATCCTTTTTTGTCTCAATTCTTTATCATACTTTGTCAGCTAAATTGGTCCTGCTAAATCAACAAAGAAGCTAAAACTCTAGTCAGAAGAGTAAAGCCAGGGAATTGTAAGGCCATACCTTCGTGTAGTTTTTCTTCTCTACTCCGTAGCCTTTGACATACAAGTAGCCGATTCCATTAAATGCTGAATAGAGACCTTCTTTTGCAGCAAGTGTAAGCCATTCAAGTGCCTTGGTATAATTTCTTTCAACACCAGCTCCTCTAGCATATATCTCCCCCAGAAGTTCCATTGACCTTGGCTCTCCTTTTTCTACTGCCTTCGAAAACCAATGCAATGCCTTGGTGTGGTCACGCCTTAATCCTCGCAGACCAAAATAGTAGAACAGTCCAATTTTGTACATGGCAGCAGGATTCCCTTTCTGTGCCTGGTATTCCAATATCTGGAAATCCTCATCCTCCTCCCCACGCGATTTCCTCAGAGCACCTTTGTTTTCTTCAGTTCCACTATGAATTCTAGTTGGTTCAACTACAGGGGAATCCTTTGAGATCAGAAAACTATTGACAGCCGTCTCTGCCAATTCAGCATATAGTTGGACAGCTTTATCATGCATCTGTAACGAAGGGCAAATCAATGACAAACTCAGCTTAAAAAAGAACGTTTCATAAGAAATGACTGAATGAACAAAAACAATAATATCACCTATGCAGCTTAGAGTAATGGTTGTTTATCTAAATGCAACTTCATCCAATCATAGAAGAGCAAAAAAATGAATCTTCCTTGAGTTTTAAAAGTTCAAATTGCTTACATCTTGTCGCAGATACGTGAACGCAAGTGCCATCTTCGACTGCATATTCTCACCCTGAGCGGCGAAAGTATGGTGAAGAAACGACTTGCTTTTGCTTCTCTCCCGCATCATTCCTGTCCCGTAAACGAAGCCCATAATCGACTGCGAGTGCGGATCTCCAGCTGAAGAAGCTGCCTCTATCTCTTCCACCGCTTCCTCCATCAATCTAAAATTCCCCTCACTCGCCGCCGATAGAATCTTTTGGAGGCCGGAGTAATACTGCGGTGATGCGGCTTGCACTGTCGAGTCATCCGGCTCGAAGATCGGTCGCCACGAACCGGGATCAAGCTCCTCTTCAGATTTAGGCTCGGACTCCCCAAACTCATCAAAGTCAGAGGACTCTCCGACTCCGTTATCATCGCCGCCGCTATTGAGATCGTCATTGGAGAGGACGAGGACAACGGGACGGGCGTGGACGCTAATCTCAACGAAAGAGAAAACTAGTAGAGAGAGAATAACAATTCTAAAACCTGAGATTCTCATTTCTAACTTCTCCTCCCACCTTCTTCTTCGTCGTCGCCGTAGTTTCTCAGTGATCAGATCAAATTTCAGAAATCAAGGGACGAAAGAGAAAAATGAAGAGTGAAGGGGCAGTAATGTCATTTCAACCTGCCACGTCGAATCGTTGTCATACAGCCAATAGTCATCCGCCACGTAAGCAAACTTGTCTGAAAACATTAGTTTGAAGAGCATGAATTGTTCGGTTCGGTTTTCAGTAGATCAATTCGGTTCAATCTCAAACCGTTATTTATAGCTCGATTCCGATTTAATCGAAATCGATTACATTTTTATATTGTTTTTGCTCATTAAAGCTAGCACTAGCATTAGCATACAAGTACAACAAACAGACAAATATCATGAAGTTTTAGTCTTGAATCTTCTGCTCTTCGTCATCGTCATCATGCTTCGTCAACATCCACTGCAACGATTGAATCAGTTCTTGATCATAGACTTGCTTCTGCTCCGATTCTCTCTTGTATTGACTCGCCTCCATCTCCACCCCGCTCTTCTCCATCCGTAGCTTGAGAAGCATAGCCATGGCTTCCTCAGCAGCTGATTCCGCGGCTCTCCTCTCCTTCTCCAGCTCCATCTTCATAGAATCTCCACGTTTCCTCTCTCTCTTCACCATATTCCTCAGAGTAATAACGTCGAACACCTGGTCTTCATCGCTCAGAGACCGTGATTCTTCTTCCTCATGGCTTTCCTCCTCGAGCTCTGTCGTAGCGTCTCTGTTCTCGCTCCCATCACGTAGAAGAAGAAGATTATCACAGCTCTCAGAGATCTTGTTCGTCTTCTTTCTCAAGCTCAGTCCATCGGCGGAATCAGAACTCCCGTATAGAATGATGGGTTTCTTCTGAACGAACCCGTTGTTGATGCAATCCGTTTGCTCTCGATCGAAGGAGTTGCAAGACTCAATCTTCGGAGAGATTGGATATATCTTCTCTAGATTCTGGAAAAACAATGAAGGAGCTTTGAAAAGGAGAAATTTGAGCCCCAGAAAAAGGAAGCAAAAGAGAAATAGGAGATTTAGAATCTGAGAGAAACAGCCAAAAACGAAGATCCCACATCCAAAACCATCGGTTTTAGTCAAAAGCTTCAGAAATGATGCGAGCTCCATTATGTGAAAAAAAAGCAGTAGACATGAATGGATAGGAATGAAGCAAGTTATAAAGATAAATACTTGGGGAGTTAAAACTTAAAAAGGAAAGAGGAATCTGAATCCCAAGGAAGAGAATGTGTGTGAGAGTTTGGGGTTTTGGAGAAGATAAACGGCGTAGATTGCGAGGATTATTCATGTATCTAGAGAGAATATCCAGGCGAAATGATAACAGCCATGACTTATTAGTAATTTCTATCCACTTTAAATAATTAAAATAAAACTTCCGTTTGAAGAATTTCTAGTTTCCTTTTCTTTTATTTCCAACAAATTGTTCATTCATCTTGCACACAGTGCACTGGATTATTCTTTGTATGTGATGTACAGCTGTAAAACATAAGGATTCCGGACATTGTTCTCAAGCTTTTCCGGCGGAACCGAAGAGACGGATCTTCTCGGCGATTACTGCTTTCATGGCTTCCTTTGTGCCCGACATGACGTCAACAAGATCGGTCTTCTTCCCGGAGGTAAGAGCATCCATGTACGCCTTCCTTACTTCTGTGTTCACGTTGAACTTCCTCACTCCATTCTCAATGCATTCCTGATGTTCTCAGACAACAATCAATATAGTATATACCACACAAAAACGTTAATTTCGGTTAAACTTACAACATGGTGGACTCATACCTTGATAAGCTTCTCTGGCAAACCAGAAGCTCCATGAAGAACAAGAAAGACACCTTTCTTCGAACTTAAATTGCGCAGTTCCTATACATACGGGATAACTTAGAATAAGAATGACTTTAATCTCAGCACATTGACCAACTTCACACAGAAAATGAGTATGCTTAACCTTAAGTAAGTCGAGCTTGAGGTTTGGACCGGACTCTGGGTATTTTCCATGGACATTTCCTATACACACAGCCAAAGCATCTATACCAGTCTCCATAAATTCCTGAGCCTGAAACAGAAAAACTCATTGCAGTTCGGTTTAGCAGACATGGATAGTGAAGTGAGAAACTGGATTTATCAAAGCTTAGAAAGAACAAGGACCTGGTGAATGTTGGTGAGCTTTGCTTCGTAATCTTCAACAGTCAAGCCATCCTCTGTACCTGAGAGTCTACCTAATTCAGCTTCCACCATAATGTTTTTGGAACGTGCCAACTCTGTTATAGATTTCGTGTAGGACACATTCTCTGTGAAGGAAAGATGAGAACCATCTACCATCACTGAATCAAATCCCTGCACGAATGAAGTTTATAACATAGAACTAAGTACAAGAGGACAAAGATATTGAAATATATGCGTTAGATATCTCAAACTTACGAGTTCAAGAGCTTCTAATAGCTCCTGCTTTGAAGTTCCATGGTCAAAATGCACGGATATAGGAACCTGTCACATTGTGCATATTAATTTTTTTTTTTCAGTTTCCGAGCTAGTAGCTCTTTCGTCCTTATGGTGGTAGCAAAGCAAACTCATGATACATGACTTCTTACAGTAAAAATATACATCTAATGGAGAATCAAAAACCCACTTACCCTGGCTTGTTCAGCTGCGGAGATGCAGCATGAAACCAATGGAATGCCTCCTTGCTTGAAGGCACCTGGATGGACCTAAACGCATAGCCATAAGAACGAAAATAATTCAGCTTTCATTTTGCTTTGGTACAGTCACAGATTATTATGCTTTGGTAGCTATCAGTGGCAGATATTTTTCATATGAAAGTCTTTGATGTGTCAGAAATCCACTTCTGGTCAGAAGAAGACTAACCTGGAGTATGGCAGGACTGTTTTCTTCCTCTGCAGCTGCTACAACAGCTTCAATTCCTTCCAGGTTATACACATTAAATGCTCCAATTGCATATCCACCCTTTTCTGCGTTCTATTTTACATAGAAACACAACATCAATATACTGAAGAGAAAAAATGATGCTAGAGAACAAGAGGGACACTTACAAGAAGCAGCTCTTTCGTCGATCGTCCAGCTACAACTGACCAGGACTTCACAACTTCTGCAAGAGCTGTGCTACTGCCAACATTACCTGTTACATAGGGAGAGAAAGAAGTTACTTTATTAAAAAAAAAAAAAAAGACTTAAGAATATGTATTTTCTTCAGTAATATGTTTTGAATACAAACTAGGATTTACCCGGAAAAACAATGTAGGGGACTCCGGGATGTCTACTTTCTGGACCTAACTTCCATACTGGAACACCAGCAAGGGCTTGACCAACCACAAGTGCACGTCTTGCTTTAAGTGCTTTTGTTGCTGTGTCTGATGACGTAATTCCACCCTAAACAAGTATTTTACAGTGTCAAAATTTTCGAAATACAAAACAGTTGCAATCATCAACTGTGCATTGACAGATTGTGCTAGGAAGTGTGTCAGATGGTAAGCTTAACAGAGAAGCAACCAAGTGCTTTCAAAAGTACCTTAGCAAGAATATAACGAGGTCTTGTTTTTATCTTGCTCACTACTTCCACCAGAGCAGAGCTCACTTTGCTATTAATATCAAGACTCTCCGAAGATGCTGTTAAAATGAATAGCAGACACGTTAATGATGATATTCCTTGTTCATGCCAGAAAAAAAACAATATATAAAGAGTGCGAATGGAGAGACAACTTTTCCCAGTGATGAGCTCGCGACTGCTCATGATTAGAGTCTCCCTGCCAGCTCGAAGGAAAGCATCGGCCATCTCAACCGCTCTACTGATTTCTGCATCTCTCACTTCGGAGGACTTAAGAGCAACTTTCTCTACAGAGATCTGTTGATTATAGCTAGAACTTAGTTACTATCGCATGCTGCATGCATAGCTAAACTAAGTATCCCTGTTACCACTATCTACTTGTTATTACCTCGATGCTCCTTAACTTCTGCTTATGTTGTGACTGAAGTTCTTCAACCTGTTAGTTTTAAAGAAAATGGCTCAGGACTCTTTTAACTATATTTCGTTTTAACACAATAGAGAAATTAGTGTTGGTAAAGAAAGTAAAACCTGCTTTGTTGTTTTTGGGACATATGAGCCTACAACTATTAGTGCACCACTGCTTTCTTTGTCAGATGCAAAATCTTTCGGCAACACAAGATCTTTAGGAATAATCCCTATTAGAGCAGACACAAAGCTAGCAGCGGTACGGCATAAGAAAGATTTCCCTTTCAGCTCAGCCTGCCAAATTTAATGTTTTGATCCAAAGAAGGATCCACATATATTAGAGAAAAATAAATGCACCCTGTAATTGAATATGGCTAAAAAAGGTTACAAAAAGACTGAAATAATATTAGGGCGGCTTACCTGGATCATCCCGGCTGCAAACACAGCCATGTCTCTATCACTAGCTGCGTTGACAATACATGCAGATCCCTGATTCACATTTGAAACGGAGTTAAGACTTTCTACCACTATTGGACTCAGTGATTAATGTTCATTAAAAGCAGCACCCTAATATCTTTGCAAAATGTGCAGTGAAGTTTACCTTTTTTATACTGCATAAGAACTCACACACTGCATCAGGGCCACCTTTTCTTATAAGCTGGATTGAGATCGACTCAACGCTGTTAGCAGGAATGCGGCCAGCTGTTTTCTCCTCAACCCACTGGACTCGTATGAAAATTTTGTTTGTTACTAACAGTTTCTTAGAGAATCAAACTATATAAGATGGTTTCTCTTGACCTCACGGAGGTTTGAGGACTTATAGCCAAAGGATGCATCTTTAGCAAACTCTGTCTCTCCAGCAGGAACGAGCCTGCAATACTCATGATGAAGACTATCAAACTTCAAGCCTGATTCTGGAAGTTCGAAAAAACCACACACACAGACACGTTGTTCACAGATATGTACCTATCAGAATCTGCAACATAATGAACATCATCGATAGTGTAACGTCCTCCTTGAAGGAAGAAGGGGCAAATAATCCATGCATCCATTTCCCCAAGTATTGAGACAGCAGCATCGGCTTCCTGTGTGGATCATATTATTAAGTAGTGACATAAACAAATAACAAGTGCAAATCAACCACTGAACTGATAAGGTTGCCAAACTTGCCTGAGGAAAATGACCACGTAATGTTGAATCACCCCTCAAAACAATCGTGTACTCAGCGTTGCCGACTTCTTTTGATGCAGCACACAGGTTGGAACAGATTTCTTTGATCAACGCACTAGCCTGTTGAAGAAACTATGCAGTTAGAGCTTGCAATTGCTGAAGTTGATGTAACATCAACTTTTCACTGTTCCAGGAGATAAAAAAACTCTCCAGCAAGTAAACTACACAACATATAAATGCCTAGACCTTCTCAGAGCTCAATGACCTCGAATTTGTCAAGATGAAGAAGCATGCAGGCTTTTTTCTGAACTGCTCAGAAATAGACTCAACACTCCTGTCAAAACGAAGGGAGAAACAATAATAAATATTTAGATTCCTTCCATAAGGTTCTAGGCTAGCGACTTGCTAAATGTTTTGTGTTGACACGATAAATTCAGTTTGATAGAGAAAGCATGCAAGACTAACCATTCGGTTAAAACCTCAACGTCATGAACAGTTTGTGTCCCCGTTGGATCATCATCAAGGACAACCAATGTCTTTGAGTTTCCCATATTTAGTCTATGTATGTCATCTGTAGGGTCTAATGGCCATTCAGATGGAAGAGATTTCAGTAGGTCTTGTTTCTTCAGAACAGGAAGTCTCCCTTCTACTTTAACCCCTGAAAGGGTTTCATATACCTACAAATATAATAACCCGCTTTTAGTTACTTAATTACATCTTAAATGAGTCACACCAAACAGACACCAATCTTGATAACTTTATAGTGTCACTTGTCCGTATATGGTTAAGAATACAACCAACAAACACCATGCAATAAGTGGATCTTGAGTCCAATAGTTCATGATATATAAGAGCAAAATCAAAGATCTTTCAGCTTCCAGTATCATTAAAGATCCCCTTAATAACTTATATATTTGCCGTTTACTATCAAACTTTTGCATTTACAGGCGGAAACTAACAACCAAAATCTGTCTGAAAT